GATTCTTTAGGTTGGATAACGCACTATCAAGAGGGCGATTTCCAATCGAAGTCCACTCATTATTAACTACAGAAAATCCGGTAGTAAGATTCGTAAAAATGTTATTGATATGTTCGGCAGTTTCTTTGGAGTTTAATATTGTAGCACATTCCGGATCGATAAGACTAAATTCTTGCTTCTTTTTGCCCACTATCTTCTTAACGTTTTTCCACCATGCTTTCGGCTCATGAACACGTAGAGGCTTGATCCTTTCGTTGTACAATTTATTTTTTTCTTTACAGATCTCCGATACAATTTTACTTCTCATTTCTCTAGAGTTCTACCATTCTTCCTTGCTGATACAGTTTGTCTCTCTTGATTATCATGCTCTTGATTCTTCCTGATAAAATTATGAAGGGTTTATCGTTTTCATGACGTTTGAACGTTTTGATGGGAAAACACTTTGTAATCAATTCATTGGTGATATTTAGAAACGCTTCCACTTTGGAATTTACACTGCACGAGTCGTACACTGAAGACCAACTTTGTCGAGTAATGAGTTCATGAAACAAATGAACACTAGACTCCTGGATTGGGCGACAGGTGACTTTTCTAATTTGATTTCCTTTGGGGAAATAGACTTCAACTCAATCATGCAATGATCGGAATTTCCAAATGGGGCTAAAACAGTTGGCTTCTCATAGGATTGATGTATGTTGGCAAATACAAGGTCGAGTGTTGCATTCCCTCATGTAGGATCTTTAACTAGTTGTTTTAATTAGCATTGCTTACTGATTATTATCTCCTGAAAGCACCTGTTCCTGTTGGGTTAAAGTCCCCAGAGACGATTATCGCTATATTTGGACTGGAAGTTAGGGTGTCATAGCAATGACAAAAATAGTCATAGAATTTGTCAATCTCATCGGGGTTTAACGATGGAGGAAGATATACACGTGCTAATGCTATCTTTGACATTGTTCGTGGTAGCCATTTAGGGCGAATTACGATACATAAACATTCATGATCCACGCTAGAAAGATCATATCGAACTTTTGTTGGGATGGAGTTTTTTATAAAAAAAAGGCTACGCCGCCACCTCTACCATATTCTCTATCATTCCTAAACACATTGAATTGTGGTAATCCAGGAAGATGCACAGCTTCATCTGGTACGTCATTGGATAGCCACGTTTATGAAATCATCACAATGTCAGTTTTTCTATGGTCGATAACATGCGAAAGTTCATCAGTTTTCTTCAAAATTAATGGAGCATTTAGACTCAAAATATTTGGTAAATTACGATTGGGTTTAAAGTTCTCGATCGTGCGTATTTTAATCAAATTTGAAGTATTTCTTGTATTGTCGGCATTCTTCGTGTAGAATCCTTTTTTTGGTGAAAAGGACATATCGTGTTTACGAGTTTGAACTTTTTTAGGGTGCTTGAAATCACAACGATTACCTTTTAGACACCGACCGCGACGTTTGAGGAATGGGCAGAAAGTATTGGCTTTTAAAGGGAAATCATATCCGCCATTCTTCATCTCTGTAGTTCTCTGTGGTGGACCTGTAGTGGCAATCTGCTTAGGTAGTTAGGTTGGTGTTGGTCCTTAGTTAGCAGGTGATATTTATTTTGCTGCTTGCTTCGATAGTCGTTAATTTGTTTATCAATATCTTCTACTATCATCACTCCAGCTGTCGTCAGCTGTTTATTTATAGAAAAGTTATGTTCTATTAAGTTTATAACAGATTCTTGTTGATTTTCCTGCGCACCAGCACGATTTGGGGTATCCGATTGAGAGTTGGGTGGTGTAGTACTCGTAAGTTTAGGAGGATTAGGGGTCACAGATTGGGGATCATTAGCTGCAACATTTACTCGGAAATTATGCACTGAAGGACTGATATCTTCTTTACCTTGTTTGAGATTAGCCGGAATAGTAGGTGTAGTATGACCTTAATAAATTTAGCATTTAGAATTGCAAGTTCGGCATTCAACTTATCTTCCAACATAGAGCAGAGCTTTTTTTCAAGTTTATTGAAAGTGTTCTCATTTTGAGACTGCTTTGGGGTAGAACAGCCGTTTGTTTGTGAAAACAATGTACTATCTTTAACGTTTGATTTGCGTACATTTTGAAAGGATTTATCGATGAAGCCTTCAAGATCTTTAACATTTGAAGAATCCAAGTTTAAATCATCGGGTTCATTCATATTATTAAGCTCCGGGGTCACATAAAGATCATTCAGTTAGGGCCGAACTGTTAAACGAACTAGCCATTTCCGAAGCACAAACATCAACTGGTTTTTGTAATTCATTATTCAAATCTATATAAGTATTTAGATCTTTTGTCATTGGCCTCATAGTTTGAACCAACAACTGATTTATTCTTTCCCCAATAGCGCCTTTCACGATCAAAGACTTACGCCTGTATTCAAAAAGCTCACTCACACTCACACTCATTGAGTGTGACATAAATTTTGTTAATGCTGAACAATGAGAAAGTTTTCTCTGAATAGATGGAAAGATATAAGGATAATCACTGAAAATCAAGCTCCTATTCGGCTTGAAATACCGCCATTGAAACGTTATAAGAGGATTAAGATCTCCCACTCAATGAGTTCGAGTTTGAGTGAGCTTTTAGAATTCAGGCGTTATTTTCATACCATGTCACTTTAATGCGATCGTTCTTAAATTCTTTCGCCTTTCCACCATGTGATTTCCACACTCCATAATCCCCAAATATATCAAACATACAGCACTTCAGTTCTTCTATCCGGCCCAGCCATTTATGGTTTAGCTTGTAATATACCTTGTATTAAAATGTGTTCCAACAGATGAGCATCATTGTATTTGACATATTTAATAGAAGCTGTTGAGTTAACATTGCCATCAGTAGCCGCCATATTAGGCCTCATTATCAGGCCATGTTGCAATTATGTTATATTTTGATATTTTCTCACTCTATGGCATTGTTCCATATATTTTCCGCCATTCTCGTCACCAGACTTCGACATTTTAACTGCTGCATTAGCCTGCACGAGATTTTTTTAAGTTTAACTGCTGCATAAAAAAGTCAGCATTCCCAAGTTTAATTGCTGAATAAAAAAGTCAGCATTTTCAAATTAATTGCTGCATGAAATAGCCGGCATTTTCAAATTTAACTGCTGGATAAAAATTCAGCGCTTTTAAATTTCGACACAGCATTGCAATAATTTAGAGAGAAGAATTTTAAGATATTTAATCACCATTTTATACTTTCAAGGCGTCATTGTCAAGATTAACAATGCCATTTTGTAAATAAAGTTACTCTGGATTTTGGCGGTTATGGCTTCTCATAAAATAGCAACTGAGAAAGATAAAATGCGAATATGGATTGGGAATGGCAGATTGAAAAATGCGGAAAGGAAAGTGCGGATAAGGTGATAAAATGCGGATGAGGGAATAAAATGCGGACGAAGGGATAAAATCGGATAAGCAACCTCGTTCCCAGGGCATTTTACTTTGATTCTGGGTTGGGGTAAAAGGCTCTGGGATCGGCCAGCCGCTTCTGACTTCTGATTAGTTAAATGAATTTTTATGTGAATTAGCGGAATATTTAGTAATTATTTCGAACCAAGCAAGTAATTAGGGGTGCAATCAAAGGATGCGGTAAATGGCATAAAATAAGACTCCAACAACCTCGATTCTGTACCTTTATTCTGTTAATTTATGCTTATTCAAAATACCTACGAAATGTGGGTATTTTGAACGGCCGATCCCAGGGCCTTTCCCTTCTCTCTTCCCCCTAACCCTAACCCCAACTACCCTATAAAGTCCCAAAAGGCCCTGGGAACGAAGTTGGCGGAGGTCACAACGATGAGGAGAAAAAAAGGTCACTACAAATGCACAGCTGATTATTGATGATCATGAAACTCTTAGAATAAATATGAGAGCCCAACATATTACTTTCAACAGAGCCATTAAAGATTTATTGGTAACTTTTCGTCTTTAAGACATCTTCAGACTAATGATAAAAACATGAAATTTCAGTTCTGGTGTGTAAATGGCGTTTGGTTTGACCCACATACGACGCAGATCGGTATCAACATCTAAATAAGTATACAACACCAGATCTCAGAAACTTGATGAAAATCTTTGGCTACCATAATGATTATGATATACTTAGCAACTTACTTATAAACAAATTATCACAATTTAGCTACTTATATTTGGCAACCTTAACGCACAAGATAAAGGCAGAATGGAGTTGTCAGAAAATACCGTTAGTAAAACTCCTCAATCTGCTTAAAGCCGTAGTAGTTGAGTTTTTGAATACGTCACAATACGACATTTTGGCCACGAAACTGAAAATGACGGATTTCATACCGCTGAAACCAGCTGGATCCTCTTCGTACATAAGTCGCAGTATACTAGTCTACCTGACGTCTTTATATCGATTGTGATATTCTAAATTTTTGTCAGATCTATATGTGCTCGTCAACGCTTTTGTCTTGCTCTAATTTTAACTTGTCAACTGGTGCTTTTTACTTTTACTTTCAGGGATAAAATTAGGTATATTTGCAAATTATGATTTCAAGAATCAGCAAAGGGACTTCGTCAGAAAATCATTAACTTCGTCGGTAAATTACTGACCCTTCCCTCTCCATCCCAATATAATTATAGGCACAATTATAGCCACATGCATATCAATCATTGTTCCAGGATCTGGGATAGCCTGCGCCTTATTTTACTCGAGAAACGTTTTAATATTGCCCACGCAATGAAGTTAGTGGAACATAAAATAGTAAACGTTTTTTGCAAAATATTAATAACATTTACAATACAAATATTACAGTTTACATCTCAAACACCATTACCTTATAATTTAGCACCATATTAATTCAACTCAGGCATATGTATTCACCATGCTTGAATTAGTGCATTGCCGACTGTCGGTTATTAATGAAAACCATGCAGACTTTAAAAACATGCAAGGTATTAAACTGTCGTAAATTCTACGTGTTCACTCAACCGTTCATGGCAAATGATGTTTCGTCTTCAATCACCAAACTAGAAAAAAGTTTTTCCGTGTTCCATGAAGCATGTGGGGATTAAGTGCATCGACGTGCAAAGTCACCTGCCAACAGCCCATGCCTGCCGCACATACATATACTGTACAATTTTTGCCAACATCCCATGCTTGTCGCACATACATGTACTGTACCATTTTCTTTCGAAGCGATAACAAGGCTACAGATATCCAGTTTCTTATATTTTGAGACACCCTGTAGCTTATAAAATTAGTTCGCAGTTTTTATTCTTGATAGCATCACTCAAATAATCGGCATCTTTAGCTGTTAAACCATTGGATTTTACATGAAGTTGGGCAAGTTTGCAGTTGTCACTCTTTAGAGCATCACCTAAATATAGCGCACCTTCGGCTGTTAAGCCATTGTGACTTATATATAGCTCAATAAGTTTACAGCTGTGAAGCTTCAAAGCATTACTTAAATATTGGGCACCTTTAGCTTTTAAACTATTGCGACTAACATAGAGTACAGTAAGCTTGCAGTTGTCACTTTTCAGAGCACCACTTAAATATTGAGCACCATCAGCTGTTAGATCGTTGTTACTGATATCTAGTTCAGTAAGTTTGCAGTTTTTACTCTTTAGGGCATCACTCAAACTTTTCGCACCTTCAGCCATTAAATCATTCGCTCTCACATTTAGTTCAGTAAGTTTGCAGTTGTCACTCTTCAGAGCATCGCTTAAATATTTACCACCTTGAGCTGTTAAACCATTGCCTTTTATATTTAGTTTAGTGATTATGCAGTTGGCATTCACCAGAGCATTACTTAAAAATCTCGCACCTTCAGCTTTTAGACAATTGTCACTTACATCTAGTTTAGTTAGTTTGCTGTTCTCACTCTCCAGAGCATCGCTTATATATTTAGCACTTTCGGCAGTTAAACAATTGCCACTTACATCCAATTCAGTAAGTTTGCAATTAACACTCTTCAGAGCATCACTTAAGTATTCAGCACCCTTATTTGTTAAAGTATTGCCTCTTACATCTAGTTCAATTAGTTTGCATTGGTCGCTTGTCAGAGCATCGCTTAAATATTTAGCACCATCATCTTCTATATCATTGTCTCTTAAATTCAATTTAGAAAGTTTGCAATTGTTACTCTTCAGAGCATCACTTAAATATTCCGCGCCTTTAATTGTTAAAGCATTGCCTCTTATATCTAGTTCAGTAAGTTTGCAGTTGTCACTCTTCAGAGCATCACTCAAATATTTAGCACCATCAGCCTTTAAATCATTTCCTCTTACGTCTAGTTTAGTGAGTTTGCAATTGTTGCTCTTCAGGGCATCACTTAAACATTTAGCACCTTCAGCTGTAAGACTATTGTAACCAACACTTAGTTCATTAAGTTTGCAGTTGTTAACCTTCAGAGTATGGCTATCGTTTCTCAAAAACTCACCCAATCCACGAATAGCAATGTTCGTCATTGAACATTTGTAGATTTGAAGCTTCTTTAAATTCCTGATGTGACTAAGAAAATTGAACAAAGCAGTAGATTCTGCTGGTGCAATATCTAATCCACGCAAAGAAAATTCTTCATCGTCATCTTCGCAAGCAAAGGACGAAATTAGCTCCATGACGTGACCTTCTTGCATTTCCCAAACACATTTTATCACAAGTAAACCTTTATCAACAGAGTCAATACGTCGAAGCTTTGGCATCCAGTCTTGAAACCTAGATAAAGATATTTTGAAAAAATAGTTCATATTGTTAAGAACAAATGAAATACATATAGCTATACTATGCCGCCAATGCCAGCAATTAGCGCGATGTTCGTGACGTTTTTCAGAGTTTTATACTGAGTTGTGCAAATTTACCTCAAGTCCTGGTAGTAAAACACACAGAAAGTACTTTTCTAGTGCTTTAACTCGGTTTCGGATACTTAGATTACGAGAAAGTGTTGGCCATTGTATCAAAAAGAGCATAGGCAGCCCAGGAAGCATGCGAAAATTATGTATGCATGTTCATATACTATATATATTATATAAGGTAGGCAACTCTACGAGCTCTGACGAAGTATACGATGTAAACAATTGAAAAAATGCACAAAAAACGCACAAACGCTGATGAACACTAAAAAAATGTTTAAAAACAAAACAATGATAGTTTCCCTCAATTCTCATGAAAAAATTTTGTTCGAATAGTGTAGATAAGTGCGAAAATATAGGCAATTTTTAAAGCATTTGCTGCCAAAATTTCTTGTCTCGATGCTGGATGCCAAGGGTGCCGGTATTCGTAATTTTTTTTTAAATACGACGCGCAATATGATTGGCCCGAAAAGTGTAGAAAAATTCTGGCCATTATTTCACATTTTCCATTTTTTTGTGAAAAAACGTTTTATAAGATAAAAAATGGGGGTAACCAAACTGTTTTTGAGTAAAATGTGTAAATATGTAAAATGCCGGCCATATTGAATCGCCATTGTTACCATGACAAAAGCGGTGGCGTCATATTTATGGATGATTTCTGACTGTTAAAATGTTGCCTACTACATCTGGGAAATTTCTCTTCCTTTAGCGAGAAATCTCATGCTAAAATTTTAAATCTAAATCACGAGTTTTCAATATTCCTAAATAGGGAGCCACCTTAAAAGTTCCGCTTTTTTAAAGCCTAATGCGCAGGAAAAAAACTCAAAATTACCATCAAAACATAGCTTTAGAAAACTAGTATAACCCAATCCCTTCTGTTATAATTTAAGCACTTTCATATTGTTTTCAAGTCTAAAAATGACAGATAAATTTAGTATCTAGTTGTTTTTTTTCAAGAAACTAGCGTAATTTTTGTATTTCAAGCGATCGTATTAATGTATGCATTGTATTTTTTGTGAGAGAGTTGCCAGCCTTAGGATAATTATATACATAAGATAGTATACGTGCCCGCATTGACCGAGCTGCCTATGATTTTACGAAATAAATGATGCACAGATGCTTGTCAAAATGTTAACAATATGACACACAATCAAAAGGGAGAGTTTTGATCGGTTTTCTTACGTCGAAATATTTTGAATTTCTTAATTTACAATTTAGTACGGGTACGTGCACATTAACCTCTCTAATGGTACGGGTATCTTAACCTCTCCAATGACATGAAATAGCTGAGGCTCCTTAGCTCTTCGCGGACTTCGCCATTGGTGCGACATTAGGGAGCTTTAGCAGTGACTACGAGTACAACTTCGAGTACGAGATTCGTTATTCTTGCGCGTTGTTTGCTTACGCCATCAGCCAAAACTCGTAGTCGCCGAGCTTTTGAGTACGAGTTTTTTGATAAATTTCGTACTCCAAAGCCCAACGACTACGAGTTTTGGCTGATGGCGTAAGCAAACAACGCGCAAGAGTGACGAATCTCGTAGTCGTACTCGTACTCGTAGTAACTGCTAAAACTCCCTATTATAACGTGCGACACGACTTTATATCACTCGTTATGACTTATGACCTATAGCGGCACTCGTTGGAGTGTTTGAAGGCTGCAATCAGGCTGTTGAAATACATAGTTCGTTACACCATCCAACGTTTTAAGTCAATACCATTTTCACAGGTGGGGGACAAACCAAAGCTGGTTACTTTTTTGTGGTTACTATTCTGTTTTAGTGCATGCTTGCTGATGTCACGTACAGTATAACGAGAGAGTAGTAAGCCCACTATATTCAACCCAGTGCTGTAATTAATCAGTCACTGGCTGTTAGCCAGCACGAAGTTCTGAGGAGCTGTTTACATGAGCCCGGTTACCCGAGATTCAACGAAGCGTGGGAGGACTTTGAGGTATTGAAATAAGTCTTTATGACACCAAACAACCACATGCTATTGTTGTGGTGATTATACGAATGCCAGGATCATGTTATCTGCTCATTTCAATACCTCAAAATCATCTCACGCTTCCCTGAATCTCAGGTAACCGGGCTCATGTAAACAGCCCCTGATTGGCTGAAAAATGCAATTAACTGGCTGCAATTTGGCAAATATGGTAATTAATTTCTGTTCGCGTCAATCGAACGCTAATTGAGGGGGGCCATATATTCATACATTCCACTACGCCTGGCTAATTTCTTTTGAAAACAACTTAACTTTCAAAAGAAATCAGCCTGGCATGAAAGAATCTAGGGATATGGTCCACCCCAATTAACGTTCAATTAATTGACGCCAATGGTAATGCCATGCGTAATAAGATGCGTGATACAAAAATTTCTCACTTGAGTGGTGCTACTTCAGTATTCCCTATACTGTGCTCATTCCATAGCCATGGGGTAAACATGTACTTAAAAGCTTACAATTTTCAGAATGTTTAGTGTAGAATTATAGTTGATCATCAATATGTGGGATGTGTTACCTTCTGCATATACTTTTCATTATTTCACTGTCTTCACACTCTGTTGGCCTGATGGGAAAAAAGAATTCGAATCACAGATTAAATACAAACAATAGAAAATTCTCCTTTTTAATCTGCTATATCTTATGTTATGATTAAGTCAAGAGATAACCATTGGAGCTAGATGGTGAGTGTGCACATGCTGTTTTGTTTGCACCAAGAACTTCAATGCTATTTAAGGAACTTGTCCCTTTTGGCAAAGGTTCCAAATATATGCATTACCTATTTAATTACAATACCATATCCAGGGCCGTAGCTAGACCGCTTAATTGGGGGGGTGTATATTCATATATTCATGTTTGTATACCAAAGGAACAATAGCATACAAAAGAAATCATTCGGGCATAAGACGAATATATGAATATGCACCCCCCCAATTAAGCTTCTAGCTACGGCCCTGACCATATCTTTTAGCTGGCTACAATTACATCACTACATCAAATTCAACTGACTACAATTACATCACTATACCCAAATTGTGATAAAAATGAGGCATACCTCAACTCTCTCATTTTGTCTCCAAGTAACCCAGCTACAAACTGGATTACCAAATGCCACTTGGGATCATTAATGTGATCTTCCAAAAATGATTCGACATTTTTAATATCATCAACCACCTGTAGTGCAGCTAAAAACTCTTGAATGGTGAGATGAAGAAAGGAAAAAATGAACTGATTTTCATCATGTAGTTGATTGAGTACCCCACAATCCGATAAGTCAGCCTTACGTTTATCACTGCTCTGAAACTCAAAAACCAACTTGTCTTTCTCCATTCCATCCTTTGCAATTTCTTTCAATTCTTTTAAATCCTTTTGAAGTTTCTCTGGAAGTTTTGCAGTTAAATAATCTTTTGGAACTTGTTTATTCTTGTATTTTGAATTGTGCTTGTACAGCAAAATCCTTATTGCTCTTTTGTACACTTCTGTTATTGTTTTGGGGACATTGCTGTTCCTTTTATCTTTCCCTTGTTCACCAAAATCAATACTTTCATTTAATGTCAAGCACACTATATAGGAATTGACTGGTATGTAACAGAAGCTTAGTAGTTCTGGGGAATCTTTGATTATGTTCCACATTTTTGAACTTTTCTGCATGTCATTATAACAAAAAAATTCAACATATTGTTCTATTTGTTCCTTATTAAAACCCAATATCTCCACTTCCCGATCAAAATAAAAATTTTGATAGACATGTTCTGCTGTGGGTCGAGATGTGATTAACACAGTGGCTCCAGGTAATAGTTCATCATTAACTAGCTGTTTAACAATCTTATAAATGTGGGCAAACTCATCAGAGCTGTTGACTGTCTTTTCATCAGTTAAACACTCATCATCAACTTGAAGTTCATCTAAGCCATCAAAGACAAGAATGGTATTATTTGGTTGCTGGTGAATATATTCACAAATGGTCATGTTGTTGAATTGACATAATGATAATGATCTATTTAAACCATGTGCCTGACTTAATATTTCTCGAAGACTGGTTTCTCCCTTGTTAAAATTGCGAAATCGAATCAATAGTACAATTTTTCCATGCCAGAATTCGATCATTTTTTCTTGTTGCCACTCATTAAATATTTTTTCTGTCAGTAGAGTTTTCCCAATGCCAGGTCTTCCAACAGCAAGAACAGTTCTAGGATGGCTCTCATCCTCATTTGTTGCTTGAAATAGTTCAGCTGTACTATTGAGACTTCTTGCATTAGTGGATTTTTCCAATTGAATATCATAAATCTCATGTCTACCTTTAAACTTTCTTCTGGAATTGTAAGTACTTTCTCTCCCATCTTGAATTAGAACATTTATATAAATCTCCTCGAGTTTTCGTTTCCGTCTGAAGCCGTCACATTCAGTAAATACATGTCTGTTTTGGCTTGTCCGAATCATTTGGTTTAACTGTGGGATCGTTTCTGTGCGCTTTCGTAAAATATACACGCTAATAACTCTTGATCAGTACGGAAGACAGAATCCTTCCATGCCGACCACAACAGATAAACAAGCTCCCCGAATATCACTGCATCGATGAGAAAATAAAACGCGGTAACGCCAGCAAAAAGCTCTTTATTTCTTGTTCCCTGTAGATAAGTACAGTCCACTAAATGAAGAATTCTTAGTTGGTCGAGTAACGTTTTCAAGGGTATTAGTCGTGGCTTTATTATTGCCCAAAGGACATTCAAAGTTGGTAGGGAAATTAAACGAGGTTAGGAGTAACGCTGAGAATATCGTCAGTGGTATC